TTTCAATTTTATTATTTGTTGAAATTAAATTATAAATATTCGTATCAATTTTATGGACTTAAAATTTTAACAAATTTTACATTAAATATTTCTGGACATGGTGAGATTAAAAATAATAATTTAAGCTATTTTTTAGCTAATCATAGACATTTGAATACTGCGAGATTTGTACGTATAGGACAGGCTTTGTAATTCACTTTGTATATAGTTTTATTTTGTTACCTATTTTTTTTTTTTAAAACTGTGAAGAATATTAAAAAAAAAATTACTTACTCTGTTGCGTACTAGATTCTGGCTCTAGAAAATAAAAAATTCAATTTAATTTTGAATATCGCAACTAATTTTATATTTTGCTTATTTATCTATGCAACTAATAAATTAGATATAAATATACTGGCTCTATGTAGAAATACTACGATTCAGGGTAGTATTTTTCTAAACTACAATGTCGGCTAAATTGTAGTACTGTGGTATAGTACGCATTTGATTATAACAAACATGATTAAAACTGTATGTATTTCATAATTTTTATTGTATAAGAAGTTAATTCCATTCAGAATCAAAAAAAAAAAAATTGAGTTAAATGACGGATGTATTGGTTTTACTTTGATGCTTTTTTTTCTTTTATTATACTGTGTACAAGAAATCTACTAGATATCATACTCTTATATACAGGCTGTTCCACGAAGATATACCCTTTGAATATCTCTGAAGATAAAAATATAACCAAATTTTATTTTTATGCTACTCACAGAGATGAGAATTATGAATATCTATATTTGAATTTAATTTTGTTTTTTTTGTAAAAATTTTATTATTTTCGAAAAATTTTAAGATAGCCCTTTTGCAGAGTTTATTTATGTTTAATGTATCACAATTTTATATCCGATGAATAATTTCAATGCCGTTTTAATATCTACATTTACAATTATGTTATTCTCTAAAATCCTTTGGTAACATCGGTTTTTATGTGGATTAGTACAATTTAAAATGGCCGTTGGATGTTTATTGTTATTATTTTTTATGTTATTGTTTTGTGCGCAACTTTTTTATTAGAAGACTTGCTCAGATTTTTAGGTGTAGCATCTTTACTGAAAGAAAATCACTTTATGGAGGTATTAAGGGGAGTGTTATCAGAAAAACGGGAAAATGTACGAAATATGTTAATAAAAAATTATGATTTTTTTTCAACCAGCAATTTTGTTCCAATTTATAATGAAAGCAAATTTTCGAAAAATAAATTTCAATATGGATGTATTTTAGAGTCGACAATTTTCGAGTTTTACAGTTTTTTCATCAGATTTGAAAAACCGATAAACAACAGAGGAAAAACGGGAAAATGTAAGAAATTTAGGTATTGGTTAAAATATATTACGGCCTTCTTTTTTCCTGTAGATAACTTTTCTACAAACAATTTGGCTCCAATTTTCAATGATTAGAGAGGTAATTTTTCGATCTTCCCAAGAGTTTTCCTAGAAAATGTGAAAACCCAGGATGAAACATGGGAAAACCGGGAAAAACGTAGAAAAAACTGGAAAAATTAGTTTGAAATTAAACAATTATTATTAAGGAAAATATATAAAGCCTATTTAGTTATTTTACTATAAAATGACATAATCTATATTGGAGACAAACTATCACCATCAACTATTCAAAACTATCAAATTGCTTTTCTTTTAGATTCATTAAAAAAATCACCAAACTCAAAAATATTTTTACAAAAATATCGGTGGAATTAAACCGAATAAATTTATAGGGAATCAATAAAAACAAAAGTACCCAGAAAAAGTCATAGAAGTAAGTAATATTAATTCTACTGCTCTTCGATACTCAATGATACTACATGCCTTAATACTTTTTGAATAGACTTCGTTTAGGTTGTTAACAAAGAACTATTATCAACTGAACTCCACTCAAAATTGTTTTTTGTAAGCAATGGTTTATCATTGCTTAGAGGTATACATTAAATTATCTAAAATAATGGCTACAAATAATAACTATCCGTCCCCGTTATACTAGGACGTCCTTTGAAGTTTGTGGTTGGATTAGGTTACGTTATGTCAGGTTTATTTTTTATTAATTTTTTGCATAAACCCGGTATCATTTTATAATTGTAGTCATATGTAGTGTCGTTGCGACACCAAACCCGGGTTAATATTCAGCTATAAGTACAATATAGGAATGACTGAACGGGTTATT